GTTATATTTGGTTTAGGTGAAGCTAAAACAGTACGCAGTAAGCATTGTTTAATTATCTCGTCAACGCTTAGGTCCTAAATACCCCAACAGTCAGCGAACTTAGCTGAGTGATTAAAGTGTTCATCCAACAACTATTTGCTTTGCAAGTTCAGTCACACTTTTTAAAAATACTTCGGGATAGTGTTTCGTCATCTTTTCTGCTTAAGATTTACTCTTGATACCAAGAAACCTTGACAGAGTAGAAAATATCTACTATCACCTGTTTTAAACAGTGCGTTTGGTCAACTCAGCTCTAGTCTTCCTTATTATGTTGACTATCTGGGCTCTTCCAGTAGAAACATCGTAGAATAGCTTCACCAAACCCATGCAATGTGAACTACAGTGCGGACTCCCTCAGTCTGAAACAACGAATAAGTGAAAAAACAATGGTTTTGCATCCAGCAACACCAATACTGCTTCTGATTTGAGGTAGTGAACCTGTATTTGCTCGGCTCTATGAGTTATGCGTCACCGTTTTCACAGAGAACGTGTGCTACTGGTTCATTATGTACTTCTGCCTCACGAACGACGGGTGTGTAGCAGTCAGCCATGTTAATATAACGCAGTTCGACCAGTGCAAACCTTGTTTTTCGGTCCAACTGACGTCACCACTCCCATGTAAAGAGGGGTATTGTTCGTGAACTCTAGTCCTGCGGTTGAGCGTCCAGGATTAAAACCAGTGAATTGAGAGTAAGGGCAACATGTTTCGCTCTCTTCTCCTAAAGTTTCTGCTCGAGGCGAAATTTGAAATGGTACGGATAGTAGTTACAGGAAACTGCTTTTTTCCCCGAGTCTGGCAATTCGCTGGAATAATAATAAAGTATAATATTTATACTAGTGCCTAAACCAGTGAGAACAAAATATGGGCTTTGCTAGCTTCTATATTTGGATTAAGTATAACCACTTCGCTTACTTATAGCTACTCGAATGGATTTATTCTAGATACTGATTATTTCTGATCTAAACTGGACGTGTCAGGTTCCAACGGAACTTTCAACATCCATCCAAATATGTATAAAAGTTTTTACACTTCCCCGGGGTTCATTCAGCGGCACACTCTTGATGTCGCTTCGTGTGAATTTCGGTTTTGTTGGGGGTCTATTGGGGCCCGTAAATCTTTTCCCCCCAAAATATAACTATAGATAGTCTTCGCTTCTTGCACAATTGCCATTTCTAGCAGTTAAACGGGAGTTTACTTAGCAATTAAATAAAATTAGCTACCGGCTTAATTGCATCTGCAAACGGCCAAATAGTAAAGAGGTATTAGTGGACAACCTTGATATTGTGGTTCCGTTTTTCATTAGCAAAATTCTTGAGGTTTACCTGCTCTGCTCTGAATCTTCACAAGGCGACAGAACGTACAAGTCTTAAGTTGTCATATTTTATTTAAGTAGCAGGGAGATTAATCCTAAAGAACCTATAAATGGTTTTTGGTTGAATCCCGTCGCTGTGAGACACTAGTGAGAATTTCAAATTGATATATGTGAGCTTCTGAATGTGTTTTACTCACCTATGGCAGTTGTATCGCTTTGGATTGTACGTCGCGAATGCAATGTGCACACCAAATCCAGCTCCGGTGGAAAAGAAATTTTGAATGGCTGCATTCGCCCAAACCTGAAAGCAAGAATATTCCCGCCAACAGTAAGTAATGCGGTTGGATTCTTTGCACTCGTTAGGGTGGACGGGTGAGTGCTTATGCCGTTTTTTGAAAATAGTAGAAGATATTTTGGTATGAATTCGATGATTTTGTTTTGAGTACGTTGGTTTGAGTAAACCTCCGGTGGTGAGGCAAAATAATCCTCAGGCGGGAAATGATTGAAATTTATAAGTGTGTTTGATATTTACGTGGTTTACTGAGAAAGTGTGGGCAATCAATCTTGCTCAGCATCCATAAATTTTTGTTACGCAAGTCCGAAAATGTAGGATTGCGCTTACAGTTCATTCGAAATATGCCAGCAGTATGACTCGTTACTACTTCTTCCACATTCTCAGAGCTACTGTACAACGTGAACCGAAAAACGGAGAAAAGACAGTAGAGCTGTTTCCTTGTTGGAATTCATCATTACTGTACGTCATGTTATTCGCGTGTGACCCGGCTGCGGTGTTTACATTTCATGTGACATATTCAAGTACGACAGACGAGGCACTGCTCTTTGGCCTTAGTATATACGAAAACAATGAGATTGTTCACTGCTCGTCACAAACCTTGGTATCAAATGCTGATGTATTAGTCTTGGGTCACCTTAACTGTTTCACCAGCATAGGAGCTAAACCGAGTGCTAGGCGGCTCACGCTATCCCCCGGTGAGGTTCCACCACCAAAATTATAAGAACCTTTGTGATTTATGTAGCCCTCAGCCACTTTCGACCCCATGACTACCTATTTACCCTCCGTTTCTGTTATAAGAGTAGAGTTTTTCTTAACATACACTGTACTTTATATTTCCTCAGCGTTTTGCTTTGGAAGCTTACCACCGACTGTCAACTACATTGCCTCTAATTTCGTTCACTTCGAGGAAGAATATGTTTATTGCTTATCGATCTCCGGCTGATAATGACACTCCCTCTTCTGTTGTTGTTGAAACTTAATTGTGGAAAAAGGTGTTCACCCATGCTCCTGCAACTTCGGTAATATCATCGTTTACAACTGTGAATGGATCCATTTCCCCATCACACAGATCCCGTGGAGCGTGATGTCTAGTTTTATTCCACCGGTACCTCCATCTCTTCTTAGCCCTTGCTTGCAAAGACAACAGGGACACAGTACAAAAACATGACCTCTTTATAAACTGGCATTCATCAGACTTTGCGGTGAACTCACTTGTGACTTTAATTCAGCTAATCGTTGTATCATCTGTTCTTACTCGCTTTCCACCCCGTTCTCCTTCTCAACTCATATAACTCGACGAATTTCATCCGTTGATCAGAATAGTACACTTTAATTTTCAACAACTATTCTGGAGGACAATGCATTTCAAAAGGTCCTCCCACTTTCGCTATTGGCTAAGTCAAATACCGCAATGCTGATGATAGGACGTAATTTTTCCCGGCTTACGGAACCCCAAATTTAGACAGCTCTAGTGATAATGACTGAAATCGTTGAAGGCAAGTGGAAACTGTTGAACCGGTTGGCAACCAAGGTGCGAAATGCTTCTCCAGGACTAGCAGCAGCTAGGTTAAAAAATCACCCTGGACAATAATTGAACAGACGAGACTTTTGGGTTCACTTACCTAGGGCGTCACATGCGACAAGTCTGCTTTCGAAATCTAGGACCATTCTAGAGTATCCCATGCGACGAAATTTCTTTCTCGTTTCAAGCACGCTTCAACAAAGGTGCGAATGATAGCACATAATTTTGCGAATGTTTGTACAGTTGCGCTTGCTACACACTATTTAACTATTTGCGTTTCACATTTTCCCATTTTTATTCTCTCTTCAAATTCGAAAATGTCGTTCACCGTTCACATTCCAAACGGTATTTTCACTTTGACCCCGAAGATAACCGGCCCACACCTATCAATTCATCCTCCGCACCCTAAGACAATGCCTACATGAGTGACCATTATTTTGGATTGAGGCGTACCGCGTACCGCGCGGTATATTGTGTCCCGTTTCGCAGGCCTGGCTGTCCTTTCTTGGTTCCTTTGATGAAACGAATATTCCAGCCATAGTCACATTAGAACGTTTCGGGTGGGTCCATCAAGTGCATCTTCTTGGGACGCTGCATTTGAACTTGTTCACTCGGATTGGAAGATTCCTCAATAGCCGCTCCATGAACGTATGAATTGACGGTATTTTATGAGAAGCTCTGGTCAGCCCTGGATTCTCACGCGATTCCGCTCTCTCGTACACAGTACACATCTGCCATGTCGTTTACCTTATCATCCATGATTTCTTCTATCCTTGCCTCTGTAGATGATAATTCTGCACACATTTTTCATCCAAATACTGTCCGATCTGCACTTGACTCCAACTGTGCTCAGTGGGTAAAAGCCTTAAATGCTCTTCACACCGACGTTGCCCACATCCTCACTTGTGGATCGTCAACCTCAGAACTGTTCAACTCTTTCAAATTCATCCACATGTCAATTTTTTCTGTTATCTTACTCCCGAATTAAATCTCTAAAGTTGATTAGATGAACCTCTAGTCCTCATACCCGGGCGTTCATCCCCTTGATTTAACTCTGCTTACAACCCATCCTTGTCCTCACCTCTAAACGTTCACACACCACAATAATCTCGAAAGGCGTGTTCTATTTCTGGTAGGAAAACATCGCCTATTCGGCCTATTGGATCTTTATTCATCTGCACATAGAATACCGCTGTCGTGTTTGGGCTGGGATTTCTCCGTACCCATCTCTCTTTGGCTCCATTCGACGCAAAATAAAAAGCCTCATTATTACTTGTCTACTCGCTGATAGCCTTCTAACATAATTTTTCCTGTTTAATTGTGTGGATTTTACTACGGATATTGTCCACTGGATGCCTGATCCTTTCGTATCTTTGATTATGAATAGGTGGTTTATCCTTCTTGGGATACATCTCATGAATCTGAAGGTACATTCGAATTCGCATCTTTTCGGATCACGACTGGGCGTTTCAATATTAGGACGTATTGGGCCAGTCAGCAGTGTGTCGAACTTGGCTCCAAGTGAGAAGAGAGAGAGGCAGCGTGTTGTCTGAGGATTCCGTGCACTCTTCTGATAATACATGTAGTCTTCCCCGTCTTACAACAATCTGCAGCAGCGTCTAAATTGCTTCTTAAGCTGCACTGCACTATTAATTGTGCATTCTCAACTGAATTTCCCCGGAAAACATAGAACAGCTCCTAAAACAAACCGCAGTGCTACTGAAATATTATTGCAGTGCTACTTAAAACACTGATCGTCGAATATTTCGGCGACAGTGTAAATAATCATGTTTAGAGGGAATTTAAAACAAAATTGGCGTGCTTCACTCACTCACTTTGAGCTCACCAAGTCTGTGGAACTGTGGACGAACGAAATACCAGATTCCTTCTCTTGCTCCTTTCAGCATGGCTCCGTTGATCAGGAGTACGGCCAGTAGTAAATAGGGGCACAGTGCAGTGACGTATACTACCTGAAGGTCATTTATGTTGATGAACAAAATAGCTGTCAGATCTGAGCGTTGAAGTAACAGTGTGAAAATTTTTTCGTGACATTCACTGTTTCGTGTTCATGAGGTTGTCAGATGGAGGCAAATAAATATTCTAGAGAGCGCTTCATGATCTAATTTTGAAAATAAAAAGCTAAAATGAATAGCACAGTCAACCCAAAAGAAAGGCAATAAGATTCGGACAAGTCGTTTTTTGATAACGGAATCGGCGTCCTCTTCAGATGATGCACTTACAACTTCATGTGATCCATACCATTATCTTGGTGGATAACAGACAGCTGACTATGAAATTTGGTAAGAACACCAATATATGATTTTCTCGTCGGGTTAGAAGCTGTCATCTCTATACAAATGATTCGTGCAGGACTTGGCCGTTCCTGGTTGATGTGAGGGCAATTTCCTACCAATTCTAACTGCATGCCCGCTACTTTGGTCAGGCGGTTAGTCCAACTATTTAGCCAAGTCCCTAATGAGAAGCAAGGGATTAGCAAGTATTCACAAACTATAAGACTGTGATTTATTTTCGGATGCATTCTTACGCATTTCAATATGGACTCACAGAAATGTCTTCCGGGTGAGTAGGTATCATGAAGGAGAAGAGTGTGGTTGTCATTATATTTCCAGCTTATAAGGTCTATACATATCAATCGCTGTTTGAAAACGTCAACACAGGCAAGTTCAGATTGTAAACAATTGAGAATCAGCAGTGAATTGCGAAACTGGCAATGGTTTTTGTCAACTTACTTTTCCGGATGTTTTCACTCCACGCCTCATGAAACAGAAGAGAACGCCGAATACAATAATTGTACAGACCATCATTTGCCACTGCATTGGGCCGAGATTGTCCAGACCGGGACTTCGATATAGTTTTAAAGCAACCCTCCTATTAACAAGGAATCATATATCTGAGTGGTAAACGGATGTCAGGGCAATACTAGAGGCACACTGTCAAAAGCAAGAGTGGCAATGTGAACCTGAGACCAGTAATCAAATATTTCAAGTTATCCGAGTGACGAGTAATTTTACGAGAATCAATATTAATATCCTTGAGCCGTAAACCTATAAATTTGAATGAACTGCCAAGTGCAAAGAAATAAAGAATGTATGCTCATTGTTCTACGATGAGTGACAAACACATTAACTAAGCATTGAAACCAGAGGTCTGAATGTTCCATCTCAATCGAGCCATGGTCGAAAAATTACGTTTATTGTTATTCGATACAAGCGAACACGAATACGATTGCATTTCCCAGGGGTTGTTAAACCTGGAGGCGGATTGTAAAATGTTTCTGGCCTCCTTGAACAATTTTACAGCATGGTAAATGCAATAGAATCAGTTTGAGCATGCCTTCGCACCACGGTATCAGCGTTCAGTTTATTCATTTGCATTCACTCATTGTTCCTGTTTGAGTTGTGGTGATTACGTTGGCAAAGATGCCCCATGAATTTTGGTCAAGTGATACCCCCAGAATGTAAACCTTTTTTGACGCAACAGCTCCAAAAATACTGCTTCTGATGGGCTCAATAAAGTTTTACTTTGAGTTTGAATGGAGTGGGCCGTCAGTTTCGTCGTGTCTGAGAAGAACGTAATAGGGTAATTTTATTGGCAAGCTGTGTTGTGATTTCGGATTAAGGATAATGCTACACTATACCCAGTTTTCTATCCAGTCTGGTAGCTAAAGAAGCATACAGAAATTTAACTTTCTAGGTACACGGATCTCCAAAGTATAACGCAATAAACCATGTTCAGAGAAAACACCTTCAAAAGCACTATTTTAATCCCCATTTTTAGATTTTGAGCGGCATTTAAAGAGTATAGAATTACAAGTGATCTCATAGGATGGTTCATAGAGTTGTTATTTGATGCTTACTCGAAGTACTCAGTTGAAGCCAACGTTCGGTTTTGTAAACGCCACCAACTAGAATTGAAGTGCGTCTTCGATTGATTTATCCACTCTGGATAGCTCACACATTCTGGGGTGTTTCCTCGTCGAGAATCACAATGCGTCCAAGGTAGTTGATCCGTAATGGAAGCCATTAGGAAGTACAAACTCCACGCGGAGACGGTGTTGTAGTAAAATGCAACCATATAGGATATTAGAACTTGGGCGATTCCCACACCTTAAAATGAAAAAAGGATTAAAAACGGAGCAAACATTTGAGGAATAAGGTGTTGTGACAGCAACACGACGCTATTGTGCGAGATAGGGAATATAGAGTACAATGTATCACAAAGTAAAGCACTTTTTTGTAGACGCTACTTACCTCGGAACACAGGACAAATATCCCACAGGGCAATCGCTCCATGGCGATGTCTCTGGCCGAGTATGAGTTCCAGATAGAACGCCGGTAATGCAGTGCAGACCATCAGAATAAAGTAGGGGATGAGGAAAGCACCTATGAGGGTACAACATATGTGTATACATATTATTTCTGTTGAATAATGCTAGATCAATAATGGGCTTGTCTGTTTCAATCCAGACGATATTCTTCTCGTTATTATCTTTAGTTGTCCTTGAAGAGAAGTTTCAGGGATATAGTAAACAGAAAGCAGGCTAGGATTGTGAACATGTCTGAACTGTGGCACAACGTTGACTTCCTCATAT